GAGAAGCTCTTTTTTATGGTTAAGCAAAAATACCCAGTTGTTGGGGAGGATAAAAATTATTTCTAGAGAACTGCAAATGAGTCATGTCATGCTTAATTCAATACTAAAATAATCTCAGAACATTTCCAAGGCATCAAAATTCTATAATCTTATAAAAATAATAGGCAAGAGGTACCCTTTTTATAAAATAAACACAGAATTGTGGAAAGATTTAGGTTGTAGGACCTCTGAAAGCCATTTAGTGTGACCTCCCAAACAGAATATTGGCATCAATTCTTTGTATACAATGTTTTTCATAAGATATATCTTTACATATAATCTTGACTAATAGAGTTCTATTTATGACTACTTAAAGAAGGATAATTACATGTTTTTAAAAAAAAAATCAGTGAACTGCTGCAGAGAGCATCCAAAACAAGAGTGTGTGTGGGCTAGACAAACTGCTGTCAGGAATGATTTAGGTATAGCTGATTTGTGTTAGGAATGGATTAGGTAACACCTAGGTATCCCTTCCAGGAATACTTCTCTCTTAATAGTCGTTGACCATTTACTGATCCTTTGTAGTACACTTAAGATTACACAAGATAAAGACAGATGTGAACAGTGCAAGAGGAGCTTAGAATGAGCTGAACTGAAATCTGCAGCTCTTCTGGTATGTCAGAGTAATGAGATAATGATGCACTCAACTGATGTCTCTTATCCCTTTTGTATTTTTTGTTATTCATTCTTTTCTTGTTTGTTTGTGTTACAGCTTAACAAATTTGCAATGAAAGGTCGGTTAAGTCGATTTATAGCTGAAAACCCGCTGGACCTGCTCCTACCAAGGGAAGAAGCCATCAGGCTAAGCACCGAAGCCTTCCGGTTGTGGGCTGTGGCTGCTGGCTATGGTCAGGCCTGTGATCTCTACAGGTACAGCCCAAAGCTGGAGACATGGGGGTGGAGGGCACAACAGAGAAAATGGACATCCTGCTCCACAGGAGCAAATATAGACATCTCCAGGCTCAGTCTCTACTCCCTTCAGGGAGTCTTACCTCCCTTTCTCTGGCCTCCTGCAGTAAAACCCACAGTTTCTAAAGGTATTTGTGTTTAGGATTGTCTTTTTCTGCTTGTTTTTTCTCTCCTGTGTTTAAGCAGTGGTATTTTGTTGTTTATTATCTGTACTATGGGAGATCACCCTGACTTTTTAGGGCTGCATCTTTTTCCCCTTGAAGGCATGAATAATCTGTGCTTGTGTGACATCAAGACACGTAGTTTGCAGCACACCTAGGATTGAATCTGATCTAAAGGCAGTCTGTGGGTAGCAGTCACCAGTGTGCATGTGAAGTGAGGCAGACTGATGCAGACAAACTGCATGCTACACAGACTTTCAGTTCAGTACAAGTTCTTGTGCTTGACTGTCAAAATCTGCACTGGGATAAATGTGACCTACCTCGAGCATTGAATCTTCTTCCTGTAGTTGCACTGACTTGGAAGCACAGAGATGGCTATGGAGTTGCTCTGAAGAGGAATAAAGAGGAGGCCGTTATTAAGAATCAGAAAGGAGATTCTCTCTCCGCAACAGCATTTTGTATTCTCCAGCCCAATCAAATGTATTGGTTAATAAAGAGTAAAAACTGTATATAACTTTTTAGCACTGTAAATAATGTTGATGAAAGAGAAACAGCAGCAGATTCCTTAAATCTGTATGATTGTAACTGTGGATACTTTGAGAGTTTGAGAACTAGGAAAACAACAGTAAAATGGAAGTAGTTTTTCCAAGAGATGATCAGAATGCTTGGAGGCAGAGTATTAGGTAGGTCCCATTGAGATGAATTTGGAATGACAATATCCTTCCTTTGTCATTTTTTTTCCATGTCTGTTTATTTTTGTTATTTTGGTGATGGTTCTCATAATCTCATTTTAGCAATCTTTATAAATATGTGACAGAAGGGCATAAGGAAGATAGAGCCAGTTTCTTCCAGTGTTATAAAGTGGAAGGACAAGAAACAATGGGCACAAATGGAAATACAGGAAATTTTACTTGTGTGTAAGAAACTTTTTTTTTTTTTACTGTGAAGGCAATCAAACACTAGAGCAGGTTGCACAGGAAGGTTGTGGACTCTCCATCCTTGAACACACTCAGGATCCAACTGGACATGTTCCTGAGCAAACTTGCTCTAACTGACCTGTCTTGAGCAGGGAGTTGAAGTATAGATGATCTCCAGAGACCTTTTCCAACCTCATCTATTCTGTGATTCATGCTATAGGGATCTCTATCCTGTGCTGGTGAGGATACTGCAGTCCCTTCCTGAGTTGCTCAGCACTTGCCATCGGAAGAACCCTGTGATTGAGTTGTCTGTCCAGCGAGCTACAGCAGTAGTTACTCTGCTGGTACATGTGACGCAAACAGCGGGCTACACGGCGGAGCTGCAGGCCAAGCTGAGCAGGTGGGCCCTCTCTGTCACCAGTTCTGTGTATCTGAGTAGTTGACATCCTGTCTTCCCTCTCTTTGGTTTGGAGATTTGGCTATCGCCTTCTTTTTTTCCTTCATTTTGGATGGTTTACTGTCCCACATGTGGATCCCTGCGTGGTGGGGTGTATTCTCTCTGGCACAAGGTCAGAAGCAGTATCTAGTCTGACAGCTCCATGCCTGCTAGCCTGGTAAGAGGCAGGAGTAAAAATCTGCATTCAGCTATGGGGCAGAAGGACAGTGTTAACCAAATGCCTTACTGAAAGGTGCTAGGAAACTCCTTTGACCTTCTCTTTGGGGAAAAGAAAGTAACCTCCCTGAGGTTTGGAGGAAAGAACCTCTCTGCAGACCAAGACGGGTCAGGATTAAGAGGTAGTTGGTTTTGATAGACATCAAAGCAGTAGGATTTGCTGAAGGCACATGTACTTTTTCTGGTGCGAAGCAAGAAACTCTTTAACTGAAGCTGAATACTGAGGTAACATGTCCAGTAAAACTAGAGCGTAGCTCAAGGACAGAGTATTGCAGGTGAAGAAACTTCAGCTTTCATGCACAAATTCTGCATTCGTCCTGTCTGCCTAAGTTGATTTGATCTGGTCTGTGGCAATGTGTGAAGACAGATTTTCCCCAGTGGCTATTGTCGGGTATTGCCTTCCAGACTACATGCAATTGGGAATCTTATTATTAAAAATGATGACTTAGAGAATTGTTTTTGAGGCGCATTCGCTATCCTGTGTCTTTCTGCCATTGTGTTTCAGTAATAGCTCAGAAGATAGTGAACAGATTCC